TGCTTGAACTGAACAGTATCAAGAGGAAAGTGTTTGGCTTTTAAGAAGTAATTAGTCTGCTTTAAAGAAGTGGATGTCTTTCCAAAATCTGAGAAGTACAAATTTACGTTCCAGCTACTGACTTGTTCTGGAGTGGCAATATCCTTTTCAACTCTGGCAAAAGGAGTGGAAAGGGGAAACCTGGAAATGTTGATGACAGAAGGGAAAAGAGAGAATGGCAGGGGGGCATCAAGGCTGAAGATCAGTGTGAGAAAAGACTTCTGGGGCCTGGGGAAGAGGGAAGGAACTCTGAGTTCCTTCAGTGTTTGGTCCAACAGCTGTTTTTATGCTCTGCATTAGTGTTTGGTTAAAATATATGGCTTTTGCGGGTGGGGGAGAGGGAGGGAGGGGAATACTCGCTATGCAAAGAGAAACTGTGATGTTAACTCTTAACTTTACGTTTCTCCAGTAGGTGACCATGGCTATGACAACACTCTCCCAAGCATGCATCCGTTCCTGGCCGCTCGCGGGCCTGCTTTTCATCGGGGTTACAAGCAGAGCACCATAAACAACGTTGATATTTACCCCATGATGTGCCACATCCTGGGGCTGACGCCACAACCCCACAATGGCACTTTCAGTAACACCAAGTGCTTGCTCGCTGACCAGTGGTGCATAAATATACCAGAAGCTATTGCGATCGTTATTGGGGCTTTTATGATACTGACTACTTTCACCTGCATTATAATAATCTCAAAGAATAGAGTAGCTCCCCCACGGCCATTTTCCCGACTTCAGTTACGATACGATGATGACGATCCTTTAATCGGATAGCGTGTAGGGAGCCTCGCCTCGCTTGCTAAATAGTGATTTCAGGAAAAGAGTCTGAACTCGCACTGGGTGGCATTCTTCGATGCACTTTAACAGTATCTGTATAAAATACTGTACAGCCAGATCTTGCTAACTTCTTTGTGTGTGCTACCTAATAGTCCTGTAAAAATCCTTTCAGAACAAAATGGTAAACAGGTGGCTTTCTGCTGGAAGAGATGCTTAACAAAATAAGGATGCTTAGTTTATCATTCAGGCCTGTGAAGACTTTCAAAATGAAATTCCAGAGTATGAACTAGCCAGGACAGACAAAGTGAATTTTAATATTTGCAAATGATAATTATTTTTTTTGTATTGAATTTAAGTTAATGTTGACTTCTTTTAGCATCTGTATTGGAAAGAAAATTGTTTTTTATGAGAGTTAGAAGTTATTTCTGTTTGGACAGTATATTCTGATTTGTTCTTAAATTTGGGGGTAGAGGGTGTAGAGAAGATCTAATACTTTGTTTCCACCCTAAGCCACCAATATGACAAGAAACTAGTGAGAAGGAAAATGGAAGTCATATGCACCAATTTTTTCCTCAATCACTTCTAGTTTGAGCAATAAAGTATGCGGTTCAGCAGTTCCAGCGTGGGGCAGATGGCTCTGACATTTCTAGATGTGTGTCTGTGAATGACTTGGTTCCACAGTTTCTGCACTTGGAGAGTTGGGATGCTACTACTTGCTTATCTCAAAGATGTCAATTTAATCTACAAATCCTTGGATTACCCAGAAATCCTTGGATTACCCAGTTTTGTGGGCTGTAGTAGTAAAATTATTGCTTCTGAACCCTGTAAAAATTTTTCAGGTGTAAACTCTGCCAAAGGTGTTTTTGTAATAAAGGTGGTTCTACCCTGTGTATCAGCTGATAATTACCTTTGGAAGGCTGCCCTGTTCTAGAAAGCAACGACTGTTGCTGACAGATTGCATGTCAGTAAGTCATCAAGCAAGGACTCCAAACTCTCTTGTTTTAAACCCTGGAACTTTAAAAGAAAAAACAAAAATTAATTTCGTGGTTGAGATAAGATTTGTTAGCTGTAGTGTCCAAGTTGTATAGATGTTCTGGTGAAAAGAAGTGCTAATGGTTCTCCTAATTGAAACTCTTGATTCCTTGTTAATGGTCAAGTCTAGTAACTTGCCACAAACAAAACAAAACCAAAAAACTTTACTAGTACCTTATCTTTTAGTGAGGAAAGAGTGTGAGGTTAAATTTTTAATGCTAACCCAAAAAGAGAACGACGGTTGCCAAGTCCTTTTCCTACAAGTTTGATGGTTTTAAGATCAGATAACTTAAAGTGAGAGAGCATGCATTGTGGTTACTTCTTCACAAGCCCAAACTCAGTGCCATTTGGTATCATCAGCCGCAGGCTGCCTTTTAGTGATCCAAGTGGAAGTATGGACTTGGGAGGAAAGGGTTACTTTTAACTGCCCACTGAAAAAAAAAAAAACACATTTGAGTTTTAAAAATTTACAGTTTAATAAAGCTTCCACATATTTTCTTCTCTGGAGACTCTGTTCTACTGATTAAAAAAACATAATATAAACTCTAACCTGTTCTGCTGGTTTTTTTCCCTCCTCCTTAAGCTACTATTTTCTACTTACTGACTAAATGCTTTACATGGGATTAATCTGAAGTTCAAAAAGAGGCTCAGGCCCCTTGAAAAAATCTGTATGCAGTTACTGATGCTGTACTGGATTTTAGACTGTTGATATAATAGAGCAGTAACTGGATTGGACACAAGTCACTTTCTCATCCTGCTGGAAGATTTAAAGTAATTGATTACATACAATAAGAGGTCAGGTTAATGAGTAATTATGAAGTTGCAGGGTAGAACCCAGCCTTAGAGATGCTGTAAAAGGGAGGATGCTTAAATTCCTAACTCAGAGAGATTTATTAGGTTCCTTTAGTTTTGCTAGTAAAGGCTGCCATGCTCAGAGGTGCTTTGCATCATCTATACCTGGAAAGGCTTAACTAAGTTACCTTTATCTTTCTGGCAGCCTTGGTATGACCGAACTGTACCATCCTGTACCTGTGAGGGGTTTTTTTCTAGATGCTAAAACTGATTAGCACAGTGTATGCTCCACTCTCTTCTTCCGTTCCTCCTCCTTCCCCTGAACAGCCATCACACAGGGGGCGAGCGATGTGCTTGCAGTTCTCTGCATCCCCAGCATAGACCAGGTGTCAGAGTTACCACCAAGATTTTAATTACCAGAAATGGAACTGTGGACTGAAGGGCAAGGGCAACACTGCGATGTGAATACTGTTAGAGATGGAAAGATCCAGGTCCACATCCATCTCGCCTCCTAGCTCTAGGCAGCCCCTTCTGTCAAGGACTGCTGCAGACAACTGAGCTCCTGTGAAACCGGCGCGTGGTCGTATCCAGCAGCAATCCCTACTGCCCTCTACTCCTCCTCCCTTTAGCTCTGAGACTAAACAGGGCTAGTGTGGGAAGGGTTTAAAGAGAAAGTTTGAGTATTAATCAAGAAATAAGATAAAACTATACTTCAGTTGCATTGCTGATTATTTTCAATTCCAAGGGTGCTGTACGGTCTATAAGAGTGCTGAATGTTTTTCCTGCTACGATTCTCTGCTGCTGGCAGGGAGGGTTTCAAAGCAGCTCTTGGACCCCCAGGATTTTATACAGACCATGTACAAATTAAAAGAATATAGAAAACCACCTCTTTCTCCTTAGAGACAAAGTTGATACATTTAAATATGATTATTTCTAAAAGCGTTAGTGCCTTAAACATGATGAAATATTTCTACTACCCAATTACAGTTTGTATGAACTATTGTTTGTGAGAGTCAGCAGCTGATTTCCTTCTGAATAGCTAATTCAAAAGAAGGCCATGGGAAGCTGTGGCTTTCCCCTTCCTCAAAGCTGTGATAAAGGAGACATCCTGCAACGGTTTGTGGCAACATTTAATGACTTGACTTGCTAAATTTATGCAACTCTGCAATGCTCACACAGGACATACTCATTTAGGGGAAGTTCTTAACACTTAAGCTAGCATGGAAATTTAGAAGGGAATGGGGGAAGTTTGTAACACTGCTTCCCAGCAGCAGACTGACGTTTCATTGTGGTGACAGGCTCCATAAAGGAACCCTCAACACTGGCTAGAGAAACCTTAAACCATCCACCCCTCTGGGTTTACGTGCTCTTTGTCTATTAGCACCAAGGAAACAGTTCCAGAATGGAGCTGATTTCAGCTAACTCCAGGTCCAAACCACTTGTTTCGGGGGGAAGTTTAACTTGCTATAACTTGGAAAGAATGTACTGCCTATGAAAATAAACCAGCAACATCACGGACCTCCAAGGATCAGACCACGTGTTTGCTTTCATGTGCATGGTACCACCTTTTATTGCAAAAACACAGTAATAGAGATTTATTAACTTAAAATGATTCAGATTATGATTTCATTATGGTAAGGCCATCCATTTGCAGTGCTGCCAATACTGCTACTGAACTTACCCTTTTCATGTGCTTGCAATGATTTTTATAGTCTTAACATCTAATAAATACTTACGTTACCTTTACTGTAGCACAAACATGCCATTCCCTGAAAGGCATGCACCGAACCATAGGTATGGATGGTCAGGACAGCATCCATGGCTGTTATTTAAGTAGAGAAGACGATTTGGAAGCCTGTTATATTTGCATTTTACAAAACAGCAGGACTCAACAACTGCATGTTTGTTATTCTTCCCACGCACAGCTCAAGATTGTGTTGTTCCACACTTCTGAAAAAGTCACACTGCACAGCCCTTTATCTTATGATAGGCATTTCTGTGCCTTTTTGTTTGTTTTTTTTTTTTTTTTTTGAGACCACATTTATTCTAAACAGCATTCCTGTAGCTCTTTACCAAGAAAGCCTGGAAGATTTTTTTGATTAAAGAAACTGTATTACCATTGTTGGTAACAGATAGCTGTTACTTCCATATACAGCAGCAAGGTGAGAAACAAGAAGTCTTTCATATAAGAACTTTGACCTAAAATTCTATCATACTTCTAGTTATTTTTAATAGAGGCAAACACTAAGCGGAGTACAAGAAATATTTTGGTTGCATGTAAGACCATTGTCCCCCAGTCATCCCCCCACGATTCAAGTTTTTCCCAGAAGTGTTTTTAAAAGAAGCAAGGCACTCGATGCTTGATAGCACTATAGCAAAGTTATATTTCAACACTTCCAAACAGGAAGAAACAAAGAAAACATTTGACATCTCAAAGTATGCTTCACAAGTCAACAATGATAGACAAAATCATGCAAGCTTCTCAGTTTCCAAGTTTAAGTTACAAGTGGTACACAGTGTGCTCCAATCCACTTTCCAATAAACTTGTTCAGGCATCATAAAAAGTATCAGGTACGCAGAAACCAAATCCCACATCCTGCCCAACCAAAAAGGTAGTCTGAAAAATTTCACATCACTTCAGAGAAAAAGTTTATATTTCTCCCCAGTGGCATCATATGTGCTTTCAATTTAATTAAGCATACACCCAACAACTTAAAACAGTGTTTAACACTGGGTAGGCAAATATCCTAACAAGGTAACTACCCACGAGCTACCTGCAAATACACATCAACAATAAAGGAAACGTGTTTAATCCTAAACTGAAATACCCAAATGCTGAAAGATTCTCTGCAGCTTTCTATCAGGTTTCATTTTACCCTCCTCACAGAAGGGCCTTACAGTGCAGTACAGAACAACGACATCACGTTTGTGTTTCCAATCTATTTTGAATATTATTGTTACCAAACCCTTTGTTAGGGGAAACCTACCGCGCTTCCCTCATTCCATGTTTGGGCAGGTAAGCCTAAATCCCAAGATGACTGAACAGCGCTGACCAACTTTGCCCCCTCCTTAAAATCAAGGGTCACTTTGGCTGATGATGGAACTACACCTGTCACAGTTTAAAAAGTGGAGGTTTAATGAACACCTCTGAGTTTACAATCCAGTTATTTTTACATCTGCCATAAGCATTGCTACAAAATTACCGCAATAAGAATTTCTATTAAAGCAGAATGTTCCAAAGTGTGTAACTGAAGTAGCTGCAGGTAAGGATTATAGCATCTTCAATTTTCACTATTATTCCGTTAACCAAGCCTGTAGATCTTTCTTTAAACACACACTAAGTTCATGCTACAATTCATTTTTAAATTGCAAATAAGCAAGAAAAGGTGGCCTGAACACATCAATTTGTATCTGACATCCACTTTGGGGAAGGTAGCTAGAGAAGTGACTACTAACCATGTAGAGGTTTAGGTTTTCTACTCAGACTTCCCCAGCCTCTCTAGAAACTACGGTGAACATCATTACTGCTTTCATCTTTCAGCTTGAAAAGCCCCTGCAGCATTCTGTTTCAGCTGGCATCAGCAAAATAAGACACACCTAATGGTCAGCTCCACTAAGAATCAGCTTTACAGTGTCAGGCACACCTAACCCAGACATTTTCCTTCAGTGTTTTCTTAAGAAAATGGCAATGTAGGAAAACAGGACAGTACACGGAACAGTAACAGCAGAGTTACAGAGATGAGTCAGATTGTTACACATATCCCCCAAATTAAGGGACTGTCCTCCAACAGATCTGCTAGTCTCTTGCCTTCCTAAAGCTACTATTACAACTAGACTTCCAGCATATACCTTAACTTGGGAGTATTTCATGGCCTTCCCTCTCAAGCATTCACTGCACCTAGCTGGGGTCTCTAAAAACTTCCCACCTCTGTTTGCAAGCCAGCTTAATGCTAAGCAAGCGTCCCCGCCGTCACGGAGCGATCTGACAGCTTGCCTCTGACGCAGCCAGCGCCAGGCAGCCCGCAGTGTGGCACCGCAGAGCCATCGCTGAGGCAGCCAGAAACGAGCTCACCTCTGAACTCTCCTACATGTCACTCATGAAAGCCTGGAATTAAGCTCAGCGAAACGAGTTCTGCGCTTCAGTTAGTCAGCTTGTTGCAGCTCCTTGCAAGGGCTGGAGCAAACCTCCCGACTGCAGCGTCAGGCTGACCCGCACCATTAGTTTGGCAGCTCAAGTCCAAGGGCAAGACAGACGTTCCCATCTTTGCCCTCTGCTGGGTGCTGGGGATAAAGCAATAAATCGCACTTACCGAAATACCAGTCTCAGTATTTGTGTGAATTTTGAGTTTCTTTTCCTTCGGGCATTGTACTCAGAAGCAAAGTGCAGAGGAATTCTAACCCACACAGGGAGGGGAAAAAGGTACAGCTTTTAAACAAATCTGACAACTAGACAACTTTTCTCACTTCATACCATGTTTTTCATACAACCCTTGGTCAGCAGCTGCTCATCTAACATTCAAATGAGCTCAGCAAATAAAACATAACTACAATAGCAGTAAGATTTATTGCCACACACACACACAAAATCAAAGTAATATATAGTTCTGTTGACTCAGAATTAATAATTTTTCCTAACAGAGACTTTCCTCTGGAAGAACAAACTCCAGTCTTATGCCTTTTTTCATAATAAAGTGTGATTTTTCAGATTTAAGAGTATATATGGCTTAAGATTTATATGGCTGTTCCTCAAATTGTATGTCTAATCCTACTTATCAAATTCTAAGGTCCACTCAGACATATCAGATAAAACACAAGACAGCAAGCCAAACTCACACTAGAGAAGAGTCTCCACTAAAGGATCAGATGTTACACCCAGTGACAAGCTCAACAGCACTCTGAAACCAGCTTGTACATGTGTGTTCCTTAAATGATTCATCTGCCTTATTCTGAAAGAGCCTTTTTATCACAGAAATATGAGACTCCATTTGGATATACAGGTGTTGCAATTATATGTTGCACTTATATTAAATTCCTAGAAAATTTAGTTCAGTGTACAGGAAACGACAGAAAAAGTAAAGACCTACATCCATCTAAAATCATAAAGACCTACATTTATCTAAATTTAAAAGAAAAAAAAAATCAAAGATTTTAATGCTGACTGCCAAAGGTGCTACCTCTTAGATTCATATTTTGGGGCTACAATCAATACAGTAGTTTAAAGAAATACTCCTAACTAAACTTAAACACTTAGCACTGCATGACCTAGCTTAATAGTAAGTTTTCTGCAGGATTTAATCCACCAAGATATCTGTAATGGTGATCCATGCAAGTTTCCTTGGGCAGGGAAGAAAAAAAAACCCAGAGAAATCTAGTTACATTCAGTGACTTGTTAGAATCTGAGAGACTTAAAAAATCTCTCAAAGAAAAAAAAAAAAAAAAAAGAGGGAGTGTGGGAGATTAAATCACCATGTAATAGACCGTGAAGTGCACCTCAGTCGATATTTTCCTAAAAGCAGCTTAGAATGAGTTATTCGAGGTCTACTCTCATTACATGTCTACATACATATACAGCTTTCCAGGTCTACCTAGAATATTTTCAACCTCTGCAAGATTAAGTGGTTGTAGGGTGAAAAAAACCCCCACGCTCTTTCTCTGCATATCTAGTATGTACGTACCCCAGTGTACCAATGGATCAGCATCCGTCTCCTTTTACTCCACATATTTATGCTGATACAACTTTTTTTTTTTTTTTTTTTTTTTGTATAAGGTTATTTTAAGCATCAAACGGGAAACAGTACCAAGCATTATTAATCTTGCAACAGTGGCTGGGCAGCTTCAGTATGTCGCATTTGCCTGGTATTTGCTCGGTTGAGGATAAAATGCCTAACAAAAACTGCAATAAAAACCATAACAAGAAAGCTGCCCAGAAAGACTCCTATAACAGTGGCATAGGTGTCTGCTCCAAAGGCTACAGGAAATTCTTCAGCAAGTATATCTTTCACAGCATTGAATGAACCGTTGTTTGGCAATGGTTTAATACCAAGTAGATGGCACAATAAGGGGTACAAGTCTGTAGCATTCATGGCTTCTTTGGTAACATTCTTTCTGAAAGCAGGTCCAACTGCCAAAAAAATTGGATGCATTTCTGGTAAGATGTTGTCGTATCCGTGATTACCAACTAGAAATAAAAGACAGATAAAGGTCAATATTCTGAAGTTACAAAACAAGCACTGAAGCTTTTCTTAAAATTAGCATAATACAGAAAAGAAAGAGCCACCATTTTTTCTTGAAGAGGTTTAGAAGACTCATTTTAATCAACAGCACAAATGTCTCCTAGCAAATACCAAGACTCAGAACTACAAAGAGAAGATGCCTTAAAAAAAGAATGGAAAGGACTATTTAAGAAAAAAAAAAAAAAAAAGGTAGTCTCACATGGCAGTTACAGCACTGTCAATGTTTCCTTGATTTTCATCAAGGAAAAACTCCAATTTTGCAATTGGACCAGATCTCTTAGGAAAAAAAAAAAAAAAACAAAAAACAACAAAAAACAACAACAACAACAAAAAAAAAAAAAAAAACACAAAACATCCAGATAGAGACAGACTGTCTGACTCCTGGTAGCAGACAGAACTTAAGCACTGACTGATTTGACACTTTGTTCAATTTTGTGCACTATCTACTCATCAACAAGGAAAAAGTTTATGAATCTCACTAGTGGGTCTCCAGTGTCCTTTTTTTACAGAGGCACTCAAAACTCTGAACAAGTAAATAAATATGCAGGCACAAAAAGCTGCTCTCATCAGCTATCAACAACTGAAAAGCTTGTTAAGTCTTGCAGGTAACAGGCTCCAGCTAGATAACCAGAGGCAAAGTTTAAAAGGTTTTCAATTAAGAAACTTAAGAACTGACCATATGACATCTGTATTTTCCTTCCTAGCTCACCAAAAGTTACAGTTTACTGTCTTCATTCTACCTATAATAAATCTCAAAACTCCAAGGTGAGGAACTTAAGTGGGTTGGTTTTTTTCTTCCTTCAATCACATAGAATGCATCTTACCCTATAAGGTGAGCAAAAAAATCACTGGTGTACAATAACACAATATTCAAAGACTCCAGCAACAGAGCATCTGCAGAAGTTGAGGACTTGCAGAAAGCATTCTTGTATTTCCAACCCAACCCTTCTCCAGTAAATAAACAGTACGCCACAAACCAATGCTATTCATCCTCTACTCAACACATTCAGTTACAACTCCTCTTTTTTTTTTTTTTTTTTAATCTCTCAGGAAGTGCTTGTCAGTTTGCTAGATCTTACAGGAAGACCTCAAGTATGTGGCCACTAAAACATGTGAACGATCTTATCTCAGTAAGTTTAATTTTTAGAACCATAAAATCCAGTTCCCCCTCCTATTCCCATCCCATCCAGAAAAAAAAAAATGTAAATTCTACACACTTAGCTTCAGAGTTTTCCCTCCTAGTCTTAAAATAAACATGAAATAAAAACATTAGTTGAGATTGGGAAAGTACTGTGTAAGGTCTGACTAGGAAGATACAGAAAAGCACTGTAAAGACAGAATACTTACATTGAAAACCTTCAGACTTACTGTATACAATTTCCCATCCTTTATCAGCCACTGCTAAAATTGGCTGAATTCTACTGTTGTGCTTGTAATGTAATCTATCTGGAATCTGCTCCTTTTTATAGACAGTCATGTTGGGATGAGCATGGGCCAAAGCTTCATATACTTCATCCAGTTTCCCTACAAACAAACAAAAGAAACAAAAGACAAAACTTAAACATACCAATATGTGTACTGAATTCATTAGTAGTTCAAATACAACTGAAAGAGAGCAAAATGAACTTCACCAAAGCTAATTATAGCTGTAAGAGACAACAGCAGATTACAATGTGCACAGAAGTTACTGTGAGAAATCCAGAGCCTCAGTCACAGTAAAATCACACCTGGCATCAGACTTCACAGCCTATACCTAAGCAGTAAGTGCCTTGCCAATTTTAGAAAAATCCCTCATTTCACAGCTATCAGAAGGTAAGTTCCTTACAAGAATGAGTTAGAAGGCATTCAATTAAGTCTTGAGGAAAAGAAACCAGCTCCTCCTAGCTCCGTGCAAAGCTTGAAGCAAGAAGACATCTCCTAACCCTGCCTAGGAGGAAATGTGCGCGTTAAGGCATATTCTGTCTTTCCCCCCATTGGCTATGATGACAAGTGACACCTCTCATTTATTTTAAAGCAGTTTAATTGCTAGTTTGGCCTTCAAAAGGCCAAGTAGAGCAGCCACTTTGTTCCTTGGCACCTCTGAAAACTTTTTTCTGAGTGAACACAACTGTTAACTTCTCCTTCTACAAGATGCTCCAATAAACAGCTACGTATTTGACCTCATTCGATTCCCAGTTTTGACCTTCTACCATTTCGGTGACAAGTTTAGCCAACTTAGAAAGAGTACCTAGTTTGCTGCTGTGCACCATGTAACACCATACTATTAGTAATTAATTGTCGAGGGATAAGCAAAATTAGCTTGCATTCATCTTCCACAGGAAGCCCTCAGGTCACAGTCCCGATGCCACCATCACATGAGGAGCTGTACAAAGATTGCAGAGGCCTAAGCAGGGACCATGCAGCAAATGTACGAAGGGACAGGCTGGACTGGCAGATGGAGATGGCACTTTTGGTCTAGAGCTGTCAGCCACTCTGTATTCAGTAACAGCTAACAGCATTACGTACGCCTTTGCATTCTTGGTGCCCACTCCTTTCCCTTCCCTAGGCATTTTCCACCCCAACAATTCTTCATTTGCTTATTTCTACTTTCTAAGCTTTCCTCTCCAGTAAAAGTCACTGAACAGCCAGGAAGCAGCTGGACAGGCTGGAACACCAGCGCACAGAAAAGAGGAACCAGGACACACAGACAGGGACACAAAAGCAAGTTCAGGAATCTACGTCTGAGCAAGTTTCTTCAATCCCCCCTCCTTTCCATTTAAGCACAGATTCATACTGAGGGCCATGCAGGGTATATAACAGACTTCTGCTACATACCAAATAACTCCACTCCATGACTTAAATAAGTACTTTGTGCTACACACATGCACAATTCAGGCAGGCAGCGGACTCACAGCTAGTCCCTGCAGCCCCATTTCAGCACTCCAAGTTCTGAAGTACAGTTGGAAGATGTTTGCATTTTTTTTTTTTTGTGGCCAACACTGCCAGTTTTAGCAGACGAGTGGGATTTAAGCACATCCTGTCATTTTAACTTATCATTTCTGACTGGTTCTGCCTTCACAAGAAGCTGCACATCCTGCAGCGGGTATTCCTGCGAGTGAGCTCTTCTCTGACTGTCCACCCCAAGAAATGATCGCCTTCATCACCACAAGAACTAGGGCTTGGTTTGACCCAAGGCACAGCCTGAAGGAAACCAAGGATTAAAATCTGGTCTACCATTTACAGCATGAGTGGAGTTTTAAATATATATCAGAAAAAGAGAAGTTCGGGAGGAGGTGCCCAATGTCTTTAAAGAAACCACTTTTGTTTTCCCCCATCAGTTCCTAGCATCTGGTATAGAAAATCTGGAGGAAAACTGAAAATAGATTAATGTATAATGTTTCTTATCTCAAACTGCATAAAAAAAAAGAATCGTTAAACTTAAGAAACACAAGATGAGACAACAAAAGTCTAGATATGGTATCGTTACAGTGACAAGAAAAGGGACTCTAATCTAGCATTTTTAGGACTGTATTAGTAACAAAATTAATTTTGTTAAGCCACTTTTCTAGATGGGATAGTAGGAAGGAGAAGCCCCAAATACAACAAACTATGATTTTACACTAAATTAATTATTTGAATATATTTATATTAAATGCAAGAAAAAGGCCCGCATCATCAGCTGTGCTCCAGGTACCATCTTCATGAACATATAATTAATTCCACACACACTGGCATGGTTAAATAATGGCTTTAATCGATCTCTTAGGGAAGAAATATGCAGCCAAACAGGTAAAGTAGCAGAAATCACTGCATTTTTAAGCATCTGAGATTTTTCTTAATGTCTCACTAAGTTTTACCATTCCCTTGGTTTAAGAAAGACAAATGCAACACTTGTTGAAGAATCAGTCTTAGGTACTTAAGTATATATTATTTCACAGCTAAACAGAGAATGAAGCTCAATGTTTTATAATAAAGATTGCAGCTGGTAACACGGAAGGAAGGAATTTTAGCTGTGCTCAAAACCAATTCCTGTTTATTGGTAGTGTAATAAATACCCGAACCTCTGGGCAAAACCAAATCCAAGCTATTTCTGAAATCCATTGAAATGGCTTTTTTACTCTTCTGTCATCTAATTGCTGCAGAGATACTCTTCAGTATTTGGCAGACAGGAGAATCAGGTTACACATCTTCAAGCTCTTATTTACTGCATTAGGAAAGTTTCAGCACTAGAACTTACAACTCCTTCATTTGGTAACGAGAACACCCTGGTCAACCATGTTTGTCTTCATTAAGATGGGGCTCCCAAACTTGGCTCTTCTATCACCACTGAAAGAAACAGCACCCAGCTCCAAGCACCTGAGTGAGCTCAGGCAGCAAATGATCTTGGTTTGGACATACTAACATTTTAGTCTGGAATATTCTTCAAACTAAAAATGACATGAGACATTTGTTTACACATTTAAAGGTCACTTAAGTCTGCAAAATACCCTCCCTGAGGGGGCATTAAATACAGAGTGCTATCCATCAGCAAGCCAAACGTTACAGAAATCTTACAAAACACCTTTTCAGAAGGCCACCTTAAAACCCAACTTTCAAATTATCACCCCTGCCCACATAAAAAATGCTATTATCCAGGTTAACACATTCACACCAATCACTTATAGCTTCTGATAATCAAAATGAAGAGCAGCACCTCTACATCAGTGACACTAAACATACACCTGACACTTAAGCAACTGTTCAATGACTGCAACCAGACTTCAGATTTCAATTCCAGCAGTATTCTTGCCCATCATTAGCACAATAAAAATGGTATGAACATAACAGGCTGGCTGTTCAGCATGATGAGGGAAAAAAAACTAAAGTGAACTACAGTAGCTGGCAGCTAATCAAACAGCCAACACAAGCTTTCTTTTTATCAAAGGTCTCGATCTGGTTTCAGTTTATTGTTTGACTTAGAAATCTAATTCTTCCACTATGGCTTTATCATCTTGATGAAAGGCAAGATACGTAACATTCAGTCGTTATCTATCTAGAACACCATTCATCCTTGACAATGCCATTAGATTGTCTTACTTCCCATAAAGACTAAAGGATATTTGTCAATATTAGTCAACAACAGACAGATTTGCTCACTTGCCATTTCAAAGTTAATCCAGGCTTTTGACAGAGCTAGAAAAAAGGACAAAGAGGTGATCCTGCAAGTACTCCTTGTTCAAGGCTGATATCCTACTGGTATCAGTGCTGCTACCACCATTTCACCTAAGGAACAAAGTCTATAAAATTTCAATATTCAAGTATTTTCTTCAGATAATTTTACTATTATAGCTCCTACCTTCTTTTGGCAAAATAGCCACTGCAGGAGAATGGTCAATGCTTTTATAGAGCTCTCTATTCACATACTGATCAAGCTCAATGAGCCTTTGTGAGGAGGATTGTGACATTCCATGATCACTTGTAATTATGACATTTATCACACCCCATAGCTTCGCTTTCTTCAGTTCAGACATCAGATATCCCAGCTTTTTGTCAATATCACTAATTATTGGTCCCATAAGTGGGTTTTCTGGGCCCAGAATATGGCCCATCTCATCAGGCTGTTCCCAGTATAGGAGACCAAAGTTTATGGGTTCTTTTGATGTAAACCACTGAATAAGCCTTGCAACTCTATCTTCAAAGGAAACTGATTCATTGTAGGGCATATAGTATGTAGGAAAGACTCCATGTATTTTCACATCTGTTCCAGGCCACATAGCTGCGCCGGTTTTATGTCCTTCCCTCTGGTTTGTTACCCATATTGGGCTGGCTTCTTCCCAGAACTTGGAGTTATAGATGTGCATTTTATTCAGAGAGAACGTTTCATTCAGAATAGGATCATACATCTCATTAGCAACTATACCATGGCTTTCTGCATAGAGACCAGTCACCATTGTATAATGATTAGGATACGTTTTCGTTAGAAACACATTAGTGACTTGTTTGACATGCACACCATTCCCCATGGCATAATGAAAATTGGGGGTTGAGACTTTATAGATGTAATCCCATCGAAATCCATCAAAAGATACTAGCAATACTCTGGGCTGGGCTGGCTGCAAAGACAATGTGCTTTGAAGAAATAGTGAGAAAATCGTCAGGACTTTCCAATAACAGTTCATGGCTATTCTGGAATGAATTCTTCCCCTCTTCTGAGGCAACATGGCATCTGTGGAGCAGAGACAGAAGAGTTGTTTGTGTTAACCTGTTTGCCAAAGTCCTAACAGCTACTCATTAACAACGAGTAGCTAAAATATTGCTTATGTATTTATACAGCTTGCCTTACTAACACTGAGCTCTCCAAACACAGGCAAAAGGTCTCATTTCTATCAGACTGATAGCTCAATTTCTGAGATGGGTAGTGAGACACTACAACTTGTTGAATGAAACAGTTCACAAAGCAACTTCTTTAGCCAACACCAGTGCCCTACCTCTTCCTTTTTTCTTCCTGCTCCCAATACACAGGAACTCCTGATCTTGCAATCTGACAAGTTTTCAAGTATCTTCAGTACTCAAAGTTGTAAGAAACTGTCCTGTGAGAAAGCTTCTGTGTGTTGAGAGTTAAGACGTAAACAGGGGGAGTTCTCACCTTGAGAATAACAAGGTCCATCTCCACCAGAACTTTATAACCCTCATTAAAATCTCTGGAGCGTTACTTCTCTTCTGCGCATGTGTGGCACAGACACACCAGCATCACGCGGCAGAGCAGCAGGTGGGAGCAGGGAGCACACACCAGAACTGGAGACTCTGTGCCTGCACAGCTCCCACCAGAGAGGGGGGACCAGCTAGAAACCATCACAGCTTCTCAGCCCCGACACTTGGTATGGGATTACTAAATGTACCAAGCACAGTTTCTAGCAGAGAAACTAGCAAATAAGCTTTGAATTTCAGGTACAGCAGAGTATCCATTCAAAGGTTTTGCTGCTGAAAAGGTGTCAGATCAAGAGTTAGATGAACAGAGAATGGGAACATTGGCTTCCCAACATTTCGTCACATCTCTAACCTGGTCATATCTTCCTTACGTAACTGAGCTCTTATTGATCAACTAATTCTGATACTTGCTACCAAAGGTCACTTCTCATGTACAGACAGCTTTACAAACAAGAATATATATGAGCCATGTAAGTCGGTGTGCAGTTTAAGTTCTTCTAACTGACCACTCATGTCTGAACAGATTGGAAAGAGGTGCTTGAAAGATTCAGCAGTACAGTTGTGAGTCACTGGAAATACTACATCTTTCAAGCAAACACCATCTCTCCTTTCCAGTCAAATACCACTGCTGAGTGCACACAGCACAGAGTATGCAAGACACAAGACAGAATGCGAATCCTGCCCGTGAAACTGCATGAGATAGTGACTATTACACACTGTTCCCTGAAGCATTTACTCCCTAAATAAACATTCAGCTCAAATTCTGATCATATGACTCAAATATATTGACTGTTCCTAGCTATGATTTGCATTCCTTATCTAACAGCATGACACAATATGACATATAAAGGGGGGCAACAAGAAAGCTGGAGAGGGACTTTTTACAAGGACATGCAGTGATAGGACAAGCGGTAATGGTTTTAAACAGAAAGAGGGTAGATTTAGATTAGATATAAGGAGAAAGTCCTTCCCTGTGAGGATGGTGAGGTGCTGGCCCAGGGTGCCCAGAGCAGCTGTGGGTGCCCCCTCCCTGGAAGGGTTCAAGGCCAGGTTGGACGGGGCTGGGAGCAACCTGGTCTAGTGGAAGGTGTTCCTGCCAATGTCAGGGGGATGGGACAGGATGATCTTTAAGATCTCCTCCAAACCATTCTGTGATTCTATGATAATTTCATATAGCATTGGATTGTACTCCCCTGCTCCAGTTTCCCTCTGCCCTTCCCAAACACTTTCTTGTTCAAAACTTAGTTATCCACCTCAACAATCCCTGTAAGAATCCTTACACAGGATCTCCCTATCTGTAACTGACCTAAAATTTCATGCTAACATTCCCCACTTCTTGCTCAACTGCACCATTTAACCACAAGACAAGATACTGTTCAATCTAATCCTCCATGTGGACTGTACTGATACTTCACACAGTTCCCTTTAGGTTCCCATTTTTCAGCAATCCTCTGGAACAAGTCATTACTGAAATTCAGCTGGAGAACAGTGACTGCGTAACCAATAAATCCATACTAATCTTTGAAGCACAAAAATATCCTAGTTAATACAAAAGGTTATAGCATAGCAGGTATCTGAATTCCACTGCAATGATCAAACAGGATTTGTCAGTTTGCTAGAATACAAGACATCTTCCACTGGAAATTTGTCTACTCCATTTTCCCAGCTAAATCTCTCATATATATAATTACACTGGAGAACAGCATAGGCACTGGTGACTTGCACATAGTGTGATGCTACACCAAACTTGCACGTCTCCCAGAATTAAAATCCAGGCCTAGACTCCTGTTAATGAACTCACACTGCAGAGACACAATTGCCCCTTCCAGAAAACCCACAGACCCAAAGGCTGCACCAGCACTCAGCTTCCCCTGATACTGGAATTTCTTTCAGCTGAATCTGAAGGAAGAAAGGGAGAACACAGTTTCGTTGTGTCCATCCACCAGGCCCACAGCCGAGTCATAAATTCTCCCTTCTGCAGAGAGGCAGGTATGCGTTTACATCCTCTCAAGCGAAATCAGGTCCATCCTACTGCATTCTACACAGTTAATGATGTCAACGTCATCAAATCCTTTAGTTAATTAATTCTGATCAATAACTTTTTTTTTTTTTTTTTTCTTTCCCCGCCCCCAAGGCCTTCCTATACTGGTCTTCACTGGGTACAACCTGAGTGCGTCCACCGGCCTCAGACTCTCCCGAAACCCAGCACCAGGGTTCCTGAAGAGGCTCTGGTGGGACGGAGGCAGCCCACAGCCCCGGGCAGGGAGCTGCCGGACAGACAGACGGACGGACAGACAGACAGACCGAGAGCCAGGGAAGCGCCCAAGGCCCCGTTCAGCAGCCGGAGCGGCTCGGCACAGCGACCAGCAGCAAGGGCCGGCCGGCGCTCAACCCACCCCGGCGGGCCCACCGCGCCCCGCGAAACCCACGCGGGACACCCCCCACTCGGGCCTGAGGAAACGCGCACACCCCCACCCCCACGGAGCCCTCCCGGCCCCGGCGCCCCCCGGCCCCCCCTCACCGGCCGGCGGCCCCCGGAGCGCAGGCGGGGCAGCACCGCCCCCGCCGCGCGTCACGGCCGCCCGCCCCGCTGGGAGTGGCCGGCGGCGCTGTCAGTCAGCGCCGGGTAACGGTGAGGGCGGGGGCTGCAGGTGGCGGGCGGGGTTGGCGTCGGTTGAGGGGGCCGCTGCGGGTTTAACGCCTGTGTCGGCGACACCGACAGCGGGATCGCGCGCGCCCGCAGCGACTTCGCCGACGACAACAACGAGCGGTGCGGTGGGGACAGGGGTGACGTCCCGAGGGACCTGGGCGGGCTGGAGAGGTGGGGCTGTGCGAACCTCAGGGAGTTCAGCAAGGCCCAGGGCAAGGCCCTGCCCATGGGCCGGGGCAATCCCAGCACAAATCCGGGCTGGGCGAGGAGCGGCTGGAGAGCAGCCCTGCGGAGAGGGACTGGGGGGTATTAGTGAATGGAAAACTGACTGTGAGCCAGCGACGTGCACTCACAGCCCAGAAACCCAACCGTGTCCAGGGCTGCAGCCAGAGCAGTGTGGCCAGCAGGTCAAGAGAGGGGATCCTCCCCCTCTGCTCCACTATCGTGAGACCCCCCTGCAGTGCTGGGGCCAGCTCGGGGGCCCCAACAGCAGAAGGACCCGGAGCTGCTCGAGCGGGGCCAGAGGAGGCCACGGAGATGCTGGGGGGGCTGGAGCAGCTCCCCTGGGAGGCCGGGCTGAGAGAGTTGGGGGGTTCAGCCTGGAGAAGAGAAGGCTCCGGGGAGCCCTTCGAGCGGCCTCCCAGGGCTTAAAGGGGGGACAGGAAAGGTGGGGAGGGACTCTGGGTCAGGGAGTGTAGGGGTAGGATGAGGTGTAACGGTTTTAAACTAAAAGAGGGTAGGTTTAGATTAGATGTAAGGAATAAATTCTTTGCTGTGAGGGAGGTGAGACACTGGCCCAGGGTGCCCAGAGCAGCTGTGGGTGCCCCCTCCCTGGAAGGGTTCAAGGCCAGGTTGGACGGGGCTGGGAGCCCCCTGGGCTGGGGGAAGGGGGCCCTGCCCATGGCAGGGGGGCTGGAACTGGATGATCTCTAAGGTCCCTTCCAACACAAACCATTCTGTGATCCTATGATTTTCAGGTGTCCTTGAGAAGGGACCAGGTGAGGAGGCAGCTCCTGGGGGGCACTGGGCCTCTCCTGCATGGGAAGCAGCCCCGTGTGAGGCGGCCTGGGCAGGCAGCACAGGGGGGAGCTGCCTTGGGGGGCATTTTCTCCCACTTTGAGGAGCATAGTGGTTTGGTGAGAGCAGGGCCTTGCCAGTATGGCATTTGTGCAGGTCTAAAGCCAGGCAAGTTGTAAGGGTGTTGCTGCATGTCATGGAATTGCTTAAAATATACAAGAAGTAGGGCACAGACTGGGATGGTTGTGCTTTGACCTGCCTGTAAAGGCAAGGAGAAAATTCACTTTCTGGATATCTGCAAGTTCTTCTTCAGTTTATAAAAACAAACAAACAAACAAAAAACCCCAATTATTTTGATTCAGATGTTTTCCTATCTGATTTTTTCCTCCTCTTGTGTTCTTAGGCTCTAAGTTTTCAAATTTTTTCATGGCGGATATTTTTTCCCATGTTGCGATGTTCAAGACCCACAGCCATGCCCCGGAATGAAGAGGAAAATCAGTTTATCCCCCCTCATCTCACTAGAAACTGAATGGCTGAAGGGGACAGAAGTCCAAGCTGGGTTTCCCGTCTTTACTGGTTGAGGATCTGTGCTACATGTAGGTCCAAAGCCCGTGCCTTGTGTGTGTACACAAAACTTAGCCCACTTTGTGACAGTGTGGAAAACCATTATACTTTTACTGGTACATAGGAACAGGATACTTATTAATCACTTTATAGATGGCACTTCCTAAATTCCATGTCCTTCTGCTGTAAAAAAGCATTATGATGCAAAGAAAGCAAAACTTGTGGGTTTTGGATTTGAGTTTGTTCTTGTTTGTTTGTTTGTTTTCCTAATCCATACAGGAGAAACCTGCTATCTTGTTGATGTAACCTACTGGAGGCCTCACATCTCTGACATAGTACATTATTAGTAAGTAGGTAGAAAAGGGTTACATATAACCCATGTACGGGCTGTAATCCAGTTAATATTCTGGTTCCCTCACCTCCTTTTTGTGTAGAGTTTCAACTGGGCTTCAGGATCTCAAGATCACTGAGCTGGCCAGGCTCATGCAGGAAGGGACTCGCTCAATCCTGGGGCAGTGGCAAAGTGGTCATCATATCTAAATTTTTTAAGCAAGAGTGATACCTTCCTCCGCCTCCCTCACCCCACCTCTAGGAACTGTAGTAGGGGACAAAGGCTTCCTTAATTGTTTTCTTAATACCTTTTTTTTTTTTTTTTTTGTCCCCTTCATTACTGTTCTGTTAGAGGAACGAGACTGAGACGAGTACAAAACTGGAAATATATATTGCTGCTGCAATTGGTAGAAGCTGTGTGGACGTGGCTTTTGTACACAGGAAACAACTAGACCACACGTGTAGCACCAGCTTCATGATCTGATTCCTGACAGTGACCCATACCAGAAGCTTTGGCGAAAGGGTTAAAAATAAAAAAGCCATTATAAAGTTCCACCAGTGTGCACTGAAATCTCTGTTTGGGTGCCTTTCAACAGCAATGTGCTGTCTCATGCTAATAGTAACTCTCATTAGCTAGGAAAAATAGTACTCACATTTACTGTTGGTTCAGCTTTAATTTTGGCCTCTCATCACTTAGATCCAGAGGTCTGGGGAACTGCAGTAGTGACCCTCACGCTTCTGCAGTGGCTGGAATTAGTCACTAGAGGGTACAGGTGTATATGGATTTAAGGCAGTCTTCTAAATAGCTGGGAATGATAATATTTGTCTTGGATGTAAGAAATGGCTCAGCTGCTTAGAACTGTTATAAAATGAAAACAAGGCATGGACAAGGAGTTTGCTAATTCCACGAAAATGTTTAATACCATAATAGATTTTCACTGAAATACAGAGCTAATGTGAATATTTGTACAAAATACGTGGTTAAAAATAGTATTGATTTATAATATATACAGATATGTCACATCTGTGTCAGAAATGCAGACACCTGAATGAAAACATGAGTAATGTTTTTAAATCTACAACATACATGAAATATTTCTGCAGCTACCCACAGTAGGACAACTTGCCAAATTGACACCGAAGGATTCGTCAGTCATTACAGATGGCATTTCTTTCAGAAGTTTCTGAACAAGAACTCTGCTCTAAAATGGATTCAAAACATTTACCTTCATTAACCAAATAGTGAAGAGAACACATTTGTGTGACACTAACGTAGACACAACTTTCTCATACTAGATAAATGATCAGTTGCAATAATTTGTTAAAACAAGGCTGATTTTCAGGTGTAGAATAATAGAGAAGTTTAATCCTTCTTGCTGGGATATTCTTATTCAGGTGTGTGAAGAAGCTCCTGACTCAGGGACAGCAAATGGGCCCTTTTTAATACAGCTCTCAATTACGTGGATTTAAATCCTCAAATCTGTCTTAAGGTTCTGACTATCTTAGTTTTTCATTAACTGTGAGGCTGCTCACACTTTACAGCTTTCCCACTAACATGTCCCCACTTCTAGGCTTTGCAGCTATTGCATCAGTACACAATCCTATATTGAAAGGATCCGTGGATGACTCTTACTGTAGCCCCAGAATCTCTGTGTAGCGACTGAACAAACTGACAAAAGGGAAGAAACAGATCAAGGCTATTTTTTAATGCTTTCTGAGCATCTCTGCAGTGGAGGCATTCAAGGTTCTTGACCTTCTGTTGGGAGTGCTGCTGCTGTTCCACCTCTAACAGTGCAAGCTTCCCCCCCCTCCAAGCCAAAGCAAATATACTCGACACTTCAAATAGACATGTGGGAAAGAGCTTTTACAACATTTCCTCCCTTGTAATTTTACCCCTGAATGCCACAGTCTACATGTATTTTAAAAAAAAAGCACAGCTCACGTTAGAAGAAACATCTTTTAAGAGGAGCCTAGAATATTCGAAAGCTGCTGTACTCCCCCCAGAAGATATAATAAAACAGGAAAAATAGTGTTTGGTTTTGGGGATATTTTTTTATTTATTTTGTTTTGCTAGCATAACTAGTTATTCAAGAGCACTGCATGAGGATGAGTATAAAAGAGGGTCTGTCTGGCATTTTAATCCATACCTGCTTTTGTTTTTGGTAAAACAGAACTACATATGATTTCTTAGGCAGAGGGGAATCAAGGAAATGCAAAGGTCTTTGTGGTACAATGTTTACCACTAAAGAAGGAACAAAAATAAATTTAGTAAAGGTTCTTTAGAGGATGTGATCTGAAAGCACTGTGACTTTAATCAGGATATCCACAATAACCTCTTAAATCCACTCATCCATAGAAAGCTTGTCCCAGCTCCCCAGATCCGTGACAGACACTGCCTTCACTTCAAGCAAGCTGTTCCAGTACGTCTATCTGTAACACCACCAAACTGGCTACAGATCTCATCACTGGGCACTGGGACACTGGAGGACCCGACTCCTGTGAGGTGCTGGATCCATCTGAAGAAGCTGGGCCAGTCATCAGGGAGTGTTGGTAACTACAGACCCAGTTGCAGAGCTGGAGTCTGCTCTGCACTTTCCCACACGTCCATCTTAAATCACTGCTTCTCTGCTTTGATTGTAACTCTTTAGGACAAAAAAAAAAAAACAATAAAAGAGGCTGTGCAAGGAACAGCAACAGCCAGACTATCAAAGAGCTTCAGCTGTCAGTAAAGGCAAGCACCACAGAAGCCTCAGGCCCCTGCTGCAGCTGGAGGAAATACTTTTAACTCCCATTATTCAGTATCAAGCAGGGTTAGGTTGCACATTATCACTTGCATGCACCAGTGCCCAGTATAAATAAATATTACCTATTTGTGTGTATGAATTAAGTGTGTACTGAGGTTATACGCATACAGAGGGCCGTGCCCTCTACCACAGACCAGTCTGAGATCCTCTGGGCCACACAGCAATCTACCAGCCACAACTGAAGCCTCGAAGCTCGTTTTCCAGTGCTGTGTCCAAGAGCCACAGTCAGCTGTAGGTAATGCCACAGGTGAAGGACCTTACTGTAGTTGGAGGAAGCTCATTTACTGCTCAACAGTGAAGAATAAATCAGGACTCCTATAGTGCATTTTAACCTCCAAAGTGCTCTGTAAGAAGATGACTATTACTATTTTTTCTAATCAAAACACAGATGCTAAGGCCCGTCTTTTCAGAAGGAATCAGTGAGCTCAGAACTTACACTTCCAACGAGACTTCTTAAGCGGATCTGATTTTCAGAATCATGAACAATCAATCATCCTTTGAGAAATGAAGTCTTTTATGCCAGGCACCCAGAAAAAAAAAAAAAAAATTTCCAAATGCAGATCTGAATGATCAAATATCAGAATTTCACAAGACAGTTAATCAGCAAACTCATCTCCTGGTTTCCAATCCTTTGCAAGATCCAGTGAAAATTGACACAAGAGACTACAAACAGTTTCAATGTTTGTAATAATTACCATCAATAGAACTTCTCCCCCAGCCTGGATGGCAGCTGGATGCCATGTTCCTTACTCAGGCACTCATGCCCACTTCATTTACCCATTATAAAAGCACAGTAAGAACCACATCAGCTGTCAGGGATGAGCTTTTGCAACCAGAGATTGCACTCGATTCTTTTTTGCATACACTGAGCCAAAGCCACGGCAAACCCGTGCACGTTCACGTCACTGTGAAACTACAGCAGTTTAAGATGGATCACGGCGTACCCTGCCAATGAGAGGACTATTTTTCCCCCCCTAATTTCTATTGAAACAGTTTGGCCTATGTCATACAATAAGCATTTTCAGTTCTACCAGTTAAGAGAGCAGTGCTATTACCACACTAGTCAGTTTATTAATATAGCTTCTCTTTAAATGTTGCTTTTCAAAATGCCAACGCAAGCAGAACACAAAAATAGTTTGCCATATTTATTTTTTAAACTAAGCTCTGAATTATACAAGTGTAAAAGTGATTAATTAGCCAATAGCTTTTTAATACTCCTATAAAATATGACAGAATATTTCAAAAATATGTACAATATAATGGAAACGCTAGCATAATCTGTCACAGTGCTCAGACATACCACTGTAATCGAGTCTTGCAAGATGGTTCAATCCGTCACTCTGTACAAAGAAGTTTCTTTTTGCAGAAAGCTTTTTTGCTGTTGCTGAATGGGAAGAAGGAGGGGGGAAAGACCAAAATAAAACCAACCCAGCCCTCCCCCCCCCAATTTAGGATCAAATAAATGTTAAACAATTTATCCACGGGGCACATTTTTATAACATAAAACACTTTACGATAAATAAGTCTGTAGTCTTGTTATGGCTGAGGAAGGGATGCTCTTGCCACGTTTTCTTGCTGAAAACAAAGTGTACTTGAGTGTGTATGTATGTTAGGAAGGGGGGGGTTGTACTACCTTGTCTTAATTACAAAAATCAAGGCCACAGAAATTCTTTGTTCTTTTGTTCTGAAAGAGCAGATTCAAAAATACCCTTTCTCTGCGCGTTGTAAATGTTTTCATGCTTTTAACTGTACTTAGGAAGTCATTAAAATTTTGATTTCATATCTGAAGAGGTCAGGAAGGACAAGCAGGCAGTGGGCAACAGAAACAGCAACTGTACTCCCCTGACTTCCTTCTTGAATTTCCGAGCAGCGCCAGGATCAATGTCCACCCAAGAGAAGGGCCCAGGGCATCGCCACCAGCCGCTCTCACGGGCTCCTGCTTTGCAAAGGAAATTAAAAGATTGTTGTCTATGTCACTGTGCATCAGAAGCTGTAGCGTAACACCGAGATTTCATTCTTATTTATAGTCTCACAACATGAGAGAATTTACTTCAGCACTGAAGCCACCCTGGGAAAAGCACACGTCAGAGGGACTGAGCTCACAGACACTACACAGAAGAAAATTCCCACTGAAGTAGGGGCTCTGCCTGTGAATTACTGAATTAAATAGGACAGTTACTCTTCCAGATGGTCAGCACTTGCTGAAAGAAGCCTTTCTTCCATGCCAGGCAAGAGCCAGCCTTTAGCAAAATACCAGGCTCTCCTTAGAGTCACAAATGCTGTTACTTTTATGTTAGGGACGTTATTCCATAATACCTGAAACATTTTTCTATGATGACCATTATTTTATCATGTAAAGGTGATATATGAGCTTTGATCAGAGTTACAAAGGGCTGCTTTGAGTTTTCAGGTTTGTAGTTGCGTTTCTATTTCTGTGCTTTAACCAATGAGCCATGTTCCATGCCCTCCTGGGTATTACTATATTGTTTTACAAAGACAAAGAATAGTATTTGAATGGGGCCTGTTTTTACATCTGTCTGAAAACGCACTTTGAGGAAAGAACATTTAAGATCCAATGCTTTAATTTGCAGTATAGTTTTACATCATTTGAGGCCAAAGGCTGTATGTAGTCTACAACCAATCTCTCCAAAAATTGAGTACATGGATACAAGGACTAGATTCAGCCTCCATCCCTTTTGCATGTAAAAAAATCCAGAGTATCAGCTTTGATCGGAGATGATCTCTGATCGCTTACATCAGTTGAGGATATGGCCAGTAATTTCCTCTGTACAGCATATATCAACAAATCTTACATGTTTAAATCTTACTCTCCCTGTTCATACTTGTCTAAAACCTACAGATCTTAGCGTTTTCAAAAAAGACAGTAGTGTTATTCCTAAAATATTGGAGGTGGCCTGTGACGGCGTTTTCAACAGGAACATCAGGTTATAGTCCTAGGGCAGTGAGTGACAATTTATTTAAACCCATTCTAAACGCATCACTGAAAAAATAAAGTGAAAACTGTAAGGAGTTACTTTACAACAACTATACACAGATATCATAAGGATACTAAAGCCCCATTTTTTGTTCAGTCTCTGCTGTATTTAATGTGCTTCTATTAGTGTAACACATGCACGATCATGTCCATAATGCAGTAAGAGGTATCACATTATAGATATATGCTAAGTAAAGTGCTACATCTCAACAGGAATATTAGGGGGCTGTGGTGGTCAGAGAACGAATTAGGAGAATGGCAAATCCTCATTCTCTGAACGGCCTCACCATGCACGCTGCGAACGGCATCTCTTCTCCTCACCAACAAGCAACATGCTTTTCTGCCTGGAAGTGCAGCAGAGCCAATACCCCAGCAAGGGGGACCTGATGCTGCTGGAGCGCGTAGCCTCACTGCTAATTGAGGGTGGAATGGTGTTAAGAAATGTTTAGCTTAAATAAGTTTTAAATAGAATGAATCGCTTAGACTGGTACTGTTGTGTGCGTTAGTCTGCTGTTCACTCACTTAGCATGAGTAGCTAGATTTGCCGAAGCTTTAGGCCACGAGCTGTAAACTTTCAGCTAGCTTTGCAGAACTTGTACTGAACTTGTATCTATTCAAGCAAGACAAGGCCTTCAGAGCCAGCGCAAACCAGATGAGGGTGCGACCCTCAACAGCAGCTACAACTGAACAAGGTAACAGCAAAGGACTCCAACACGGAGTCAGGAGGCGTGAGGCCAGAGTCACTATTGGAGCGGGAAAGGGTGGATGCGGAGTCTGTAAGGGTGTCATTGGCCAGGGATTTCTTTGTTTGGGGCTCCGGAGGCACCCAGCTCAAGCTGATCCTGCTGCTGGACCACTCTTGAATTACTTATTTTTTTATGAGATTCGATGCCAGAGGCTCTGCTTCAGGAAAGGTAGGATTCGAACTACAGAGCGGCTATCACCAGACGCCTGGCCCACACTGCGCTGCTTTAACCTTCGGATCCTCTCACCTCTAAACATCCCACTGCCAGCCTCGGGTGAGTTCACTTGGAATTTTTAGAGCAGGAGGCATCGAAGGGTGAGTGTTAAAATTCCCTGAGCAGATCTGGTGAAGATACTGCAGTGGGTTTGAGCCCCTCTCAAGCTTTTGCCAAGAAAGGTTGGACCAGATGATTCTTGAGCTCCCTTCCAACATGGTGTTCTATGATTCTCTCAGTATCAGAGTGGGTTTAAGTCCCTCTACATATTGGGGTGGGTTTGAGTCCCTCCCCTGCTGACTTATTTTTACAGGATTTGGTGTCTGAGACTCTGCTTCAGGAACCCTAGGGTTCGAGCTGCGGTGTGACTAACACTGGATGCCCGGACCGAACTGTACTTCTTTAACAATGGAACCCTCCCTCAGAAACCAGATCATTAGGTTTTATGACAAAAAATATCTTGACTACAGAACGCAAGCTGACTTCAGATCCTAGAGTGAGCTTCCAAGATGTATTTACTTATTGTAACTTTTAAAGGATTTTAAACCATGGAATCTCTCTGTGCCACTTTATAGTCACTTTTGGGAGTACAGCTGCAGCTAATTAGCTTAAAAATCCCACCGTATCTTACACATATGCTCAGTTTTCTGCAGTATGAATTTCAGTGGAACTACTCATGTGCATAAATTAAGCGCATGCTTAAATATATGCAAAATCTGAGCTCAAATGTCTAGAAAATATGTTCTCAAAATGACAAGTACGCATAGAAAAAATCATCATGGAAGGTCTGCCAGACAGGGAATCCAGTATCTGTCTGCTGTCAGCCATGATGAAAACACAGAACAATTTTTGTAACCCAGTATACATTGCAAGTGAAAGAAACATGCAGGACAGAGTTAAAAAGGGGGATTTGATCGCATGCAGTCTAATTTCAAGTGTGTAATTATGGTCCTGTTCTCTTTGGCCTAAAAAAAAAAAAAAAAAAGAGAGAAAAAAAAGAACAGCAAAAGAACCCCAACTAACGTCTCCTCACCTCCACAAACCCAAACTGCATACAGCTCAAAAAGGGCTTTAAAGCACAGGAAGTGGGGAGGGAAAAGGTCTGAGTAGTAAAGATGTATGAGTAGTTACTACCAGTTCAGGGCTAATCAACACACCACTAGGAAAGCATTCAGCCTGCATCATTACTAGATCATACAGCTATGACAGAGAGCAATGAATCCCGTCTTAAACAAGCAGTCAGCTTCCTTTTCTTCCTCAAACTCAGAGAGAAGTACCACTCATGCCTTCATGGAAGATAAAATGACAATCCATATTGATATTCTGGCTCCCTCCTCCTTAGAGAGGAGGACTGAAAAGACACCAAACCCTCCAGCAAGCTGCTGCCTCGCCCCTCAGCCCAGAGAGCTCTGTCTCACAGCCCTGCCACCATCAAGGGCCAGTGTACTCTACAGCTGTTGGTGGAAGAGGGTATTTTTCTGTTGTTCCTAAAAGTGTTGCAAAGATAGTATTCCTTACAGAAAATTCCAGGGGAATGAAAAAAATCACCAAGCTGCTAGCAGATTAAAAACAACACACATACCCTCCTCCTTAAAACAAAACAAAACAAAAAAAAAACCAAAAAAACAAAAAGGGGAAGACTAAGGTCTGCTGGGGAAGTGAGGTCAGAGGAGCAGGCTGCTTGATGAAGGGCAGTAGCAAGTATTCTGGGAGTCTGAATATCAGCCCTGATATCGGCTTAATTGCCCACCCTGAACAATCTCTCTGGTAGCGGTGTTTCAGCATGCAATTTATAGCTGTGAAAACATCCTCAGCCTGAAATCTTCCCTTGTTTCTTCAGCCTTGTTTTGTCCTTTCCAGAAAAATCTATTAGTTGGTGTGTGATATGGTTACATATACAAAGATCTTTTTCCTAGCCCTTTTATTACATAGGCTTGATTACTGTGGAGGGATTTCAATGAGTTTAATGTCCTGGTACTCAAAAGGCATTGGCTGCCTTTTGACAAAACAAAGCAAACAAAAACCAAGAGCTGTGCTGGAGGAGAGACGTGCTGCTTCTGCCGGAGAGGCTCAGTTAGATACGGGAGGTGGCAGACCAGGGCGTCGGGTTTGAATGATTTTTGGCTTTGGAGAATTCTTTGGGTCCTCGTCTTCTTCCAGGTCGCTGTCGCAGACATGCACTACCACACTGGGAGTGGACTCTGTTCCTGCATGCAGCTCATATTTTTCTCCTGGAAGCAGAGAAAAATAGTTAGATGAAAAGGTGAGAGACCTGAGTAGCAGCGCAGCCCGTAGGACTCTTGGGCTGCAGAATCCTCCGGCACCCGGATCTGGCAGATGCGTGTGTGCTGCTCCTCCAATACCAGTGAGGGCAAGTGTGGCTGGACTGCATCAGCTGTCACAACAGATTCTGGGGATCCTGCCCCTGGGGTCTGTAAGGCAAATAAAATACCCTGGTGTCTATAATGGTGTTTTGCACCAATAGCAGTGGCCAACTGCACTGAAAAAATCCCCATAAAGTATGAAGAGGAGACAGAGCACAGAAGTTCATGGTTAAGAAGAGGGACTGGAATCCAACTTCTCAAAGGTTTGGTCTGAAGTCATGTCACAACTGTTGGGTTGGGGCTATTCTTTTTTGTCTTCGTTGGTTTCTTTCAGTCTACCATGGCTCCAGTCCCATTTAAAGTCCACCAGATTCTGCAACTTGTCACCTCCAGACAGACATCAATACGTGGCCCCATTGCTCCAAAAATAAAAAAATACATATATCTGGTCCAGATGGATTTTAAGATTCAAAGCTCTTTAGCTGAGGCTGTAACAAATTCTGTCTCTACAAATGAGATTACACGGTACAATCTATAAATGCTCACTACCAGGCTAAGCACTTAAACAGTACATTGGATTTTCTAACTATGTGCATTCCTTATTTAAGTCTCCACCCAGTACTCCTGTGAGGAAGATGAATATGGCTTAGGTGGTTACCTGCAAGAGCCCACAAGCAAACAAAGGCAAATCAGGATCAGACACTGAACCTTTCTTCCTGCATCCAGTTCGCTGACACTTCATGTGTTTTGGATTATACACAGGATGTAAGTAGGTAAAGGCTACTAAATTGCAAGGAATTAAGACTGTAAATAAAAAAATGTCTCCAAGGTGACATTTCTGACAGAATGACTTGGTCTTTCAGAAGTGACAAACACCTATTTGCAGAACTAAAAACTAGAAGCCATTCCAGATGATGTGCTGTTCCCCTTTGGACTATTTGTCATCACTCTCATCTCCAAGACCCACAAGCCACAGTTAAATTAAAATAGGCTTACAGTGACCACATGTGCACCTGATCGCTTGGATATTTTTTGTTTGTTTGGTTGGTTTTTTTTGTTTGTTTGGTTTTTTTTGTTTGTTTGGGTTTTTTTGTTTGTTTGGTTTTTTTTGTTTGTTTGGGTTTTTTTGTTGTTTTTTTTTTTTTTTTTTGCATAAGACTGCTCCCGAACCACTGCATACTGCCTGCCAAATATTCTGAGATGAGGAAGGTGAGGTGCCAATGTACCCAGCTGACCTGTATTTGTGGTGCAGCAGCTCCTCGATGCCTGCATCACAGGCAGAACCCAGCAGTGCTAGGTGATGCACGATGAAAGTGAAATGGCAGTCCCTACCTCAAAGCACCTGTGGTTTGCTTGTGTTACTAATTTGGATTTTTATTTATTAGCAACTTTGTGGCAGAGTAATTCATGTGAGGAAGGGGCTGCCCGTTTGGCCCTGCATTAGCACATGCAGTTCTCGGACTGTGCTCACACGCTATTCGTGCTGACAAATTCTTGGTCCTAATAAGACTGGGTGGCTTGCGACTAGAGGACATGCTGCATTTTTGCCTAAAAAATAAGAGACAACTAGTGAATAATAGCTGTAAGTCAGGCATCTTGCTGTGAGAAATGTTTTACTGCTGTGATACCATTAATGTTGACATTTAACTGCTCTATTTTTGGCAAGCTTTCCTCTGAATCCAAATTGAGCAAAGCATTACAGGTCTTGCTGATAGGCTAAAATATAAAAAGAGAAATAGCTTGGTTGTGCTGCATTGAGAAATTATATGGTTTTTCTTTGCCTATTTTCCCTGCGGGCTTCAGCTAATTTCTCAGCTATGGGCTGACGTCAATGCTGCCAACCGGCACTGAAGGCTACATTGGTCACTGTCAGCTACAAGCAGCTCTGCAGTGCTGCACACACACAACGCTGGGCCCCCTCCTCGTACACCAGCACCATGAAGTAAATCAGATTCACTGCCCTCTTAAAAGGTAATAATCCCAGTTCAAACGCCACATTCTTTCACTGTTCAAATCCTTTCCAGAAGGACTCTGGGAAAGAGCAGTGGAAATAAGTACAGACACAGGGAAAAAAAATATTCAGATGCCTCTGGCACAAGTAACTGCAACAGCAATTAATGTCACTTTGCAAATCAAAATGGGATGCGCTCATAAATAAGGTTTTTAAGGCATACGGTTATTTCTGAGCATAAATGAGCCGCAGACTCAGTTCTGTACTCACGATTATTCATGCCTGCACAACTGTGGCTCAGACTGAAGAAAACCTTTTTATGGCTGAGCTAAGAATGAGACAGCAGCGATGGGACTTTTATATAGCTGTATCTTGTTCCTAAATGTAACTGTTGTTTGTGGAAAAATACTAAGGTAATAAGTACAAAATAAAAATCCAATAAATACAGCCAGATTACCCCTCCCCTTCTGTTTTTTTTTTTTTTTTTTGCGTTTTTTTCTTTCCTCTTAACCAATACCTCCAATGTTTAAAAAAAATTAAAAAAAGTAAAGCTACAGCAGTTAAGCTACTGGAGTAATGGTTGAATCACTGCAATCAAGTTGTGTTTACAAAATATAGGTTGTCCCAAGCTAAGAGTAGCAAGTTGAGTTAGTATAGTGAAGACTCACCAGCTTCTTAGTAGTTAATATCAGTCAGGCATTTCCCCAGTGAGCTCATGCAGTTCCCTCTGATGCTGCCTCCTTTGCATTCTCAGGCCCTACATTGCCCCAAGCTCCTGCTTCCCCCACTTGCCTGGAGCCCTCTAACAGGCTAAGCCAAGAGATTCTTGAAGAGAGGTATCTTTCTCCTCCAGCAGTCTTTGGGCTATCTCTATCCCTTAATAATAAATTGTTTAAATATTCACATAAGCTGAGATAACAGTGGAAGCTCACATAAATTTACTCAGAAAAATATTAAAAAATTTATTAAATATGCTCAAACATCTGCCTTCAGGACATAATGCAAAGAAGAATTTAGCCGTGGCACCTCCACCACATAGGTTCATCAGAAAACGTTCCTAATAAACCCTTGAAAATAGCAGTGAAGTCCCTCTTTTCATTTGCTTTGCATAAAAAAAAACCCAGGAATTTTAAGTTTCACCATTCAGCAATAGGCCTAGCTGCTTTTATGTCAATTGGCACTAACTTTTGTGACCACATTAACCACAAGCAAACCCACAGCCTCAGGTGATGCAAGAAAGATGACCCCAAGAACAGCCCAAAAGCAACTTATGATATTTCAAGAATTGAAAGTAACACCATGTGATTTTCTATCCCTGTGTGAATCGGTACTATGACGTTTCGTTGATGGTGCATCTCTTGTCTAATGAGGCACTTTTGTCCAGCAAAGCATATGTTCATATGCTAAATTAATAATGAAGAAATGGCAATAATACTGTGCAGCCACCTCCTCCCTGATTCTGACTCACGATGAAAGGTTAATGGGTTCAGAGCTGTCCATTCCATGTTAAATATGTCATTAGCATCATAGAAAGACCTTCCACTTACCGTCCCTTCATCCAAGTGCTTTTCAAATAATATATTGCAAGTAACGGGTGGCACATGTTTGTGCCAGAAGAGATACAACCCGTCCCATCCAATATCTCTACTGCATGGATCTGCCATATGCAAAATGGAGGAGTTGCTTTCTGGAAGTCCATTACTGATGTTGCAGGAGAAGGGCACCCTCCTCTCCTGGCTGGCAGAACACGGCAGAGGGAAAGCTTCCTACCCCCAGCAGCTCTCCTGTACCTTGCCCCACGTCAGGGGCGGGAAGGGCAGAAGCAGCCACAGAACAGAGGGGAGAGGAAGGACAGAGATGAAAAATTTTATGTGTCACCCATCTGCCTGCCCTTCCACCCCATTTTAATGCTCTCTGGAAGTCATATGAAATTTTTAGTATTTCCTTTGAGTCAGCAAGAACAAACATGAGTTTGAAAACACCTGGAAATAGAAAAGTTGCTGTGCAAGACATGGTTTGAAATCCCTGTGTGCAGCATTTACTGGACAGGGTCCTGCTCTTCGCCCTTTTTCCCCTTCCCTGTGCACGGGTGAGCCAAACCCAGGGCAGAGCAGGGGCAAGAGCTGTGCATCCTCCTCAAGAAGCCTGGCTAGAGCATGGCAGGAACAGCTACATCTTAATTGCTCAGGGACAAAAATGAAACCCCGACCCAGCCCCTCCTCTGACCACTAATCGTTCACTGAGCCAGCACCAAGTGGCACAGACTGCTGCAGGCTCTCCTTTGTGTCCCAAGAGTTTCCACTGCAGACCCAAAAGCCATCACGTGTGACACTTCAGAATGGTGCTTTCCTAATGTGAAAAATGTATTTCACATGACCTGGAGTGTCGCCTGAGGGCATTTAGGAGGTGCAAAGCCTGCTGGAATGCTGATGAAGGACTAGGAAGTGTGGAGAGAACTGAAATGGGTACAAATTTGTCTATATGGGCTACTGGAGATGGTGCCCAACCTGCGCCGGTTTTCAAATAGTGCCTGAAATTGTGGAGGCAAGTGCTAACTGATGGAGGGAAAAATTGCACACGGAGCAGTTAAGCACTCAGGACCCTGACCTATATTGTGTGTTTCTGTACAGTGCAGATCTCATGATCTGTGAATCAAAGCCATGGGAGAAAGGCAACTGCTGAGTGGGCAACAGGCGGGGGCTGAGATTGGCAAGGGGAGGCAGGGTGGCCCCTGGGATCCTGGGGAGAGGCACTCTGAGGAGGGCAGACTTAGACAGTGAGGGAGTACAGAGCGGCCTGCTGAGAAGAAATTAGGGTAACAGGTTTGAAAGAGGGAATGGAAGAAGGAGAGAAGAAAATGCAGGCTGGGCGTAGAGATAGGGAGGGGGTAGAACTGCTTTCCAGAAAAGTAAGGACTTCCTCTAGTGCCAGGAAGATGGTGATGGTTTGTAAACTGCTGCACTTTAAAAATGGCAGAGCAAACATAGCTGCCTTTTCTTTGAGAGGAGCAGCTCTCCTGTATATACCTAGCCTAGATCTGGAGATTCCCCCTCTCCCCCTTACAAACATTTCTCATATAAAATTATTTCCTGTATTGCTCAGTGGGATGAAACTAAGACCTTATAAAAAGTTATGCAAAAGACATGAGGGCCTAGACTAGACAACAGTTTGGTACGTCGCAAGAGTTCCTGTAGGAGTTAGGTCCAGAGATTAATGATCACACTTCTTTATTTGCAATATATTGAAAAAACTGTAGGCTGGTGGTCAGAATCAGGCAGAGTCACAGCTGCTGGCTCTGACTGGTCTACAGCATTCTGTTCATGCCTCATTTAAAGCTCAATTTCTGCATCTGCAGCAAGTGAGACTATACATCAATCAACCAGAAACTTACTTAAACATGCCATGGTCTTCTCTAAGAAGTAAATGCACACTTCCTGATCACAGTTTAATGTCAAAGGACCAAAAGCCAGCTTCTTTTTGCGCACAGCAAAAAAGAAATTTTTTCTGTTAGGTATCTGAGATGCCAGACAGTCACTGCTGTAGCCACAAAGCTTAAAAAAAACCCAAACAAACAAACGAAAAAAAAACCACCCAAAAAAACAACAATCAAACAAACAAAAAAACACCCCAAAACACAAAAACCAAAACCCTAACCCAAAACTGAGCTTGGAAAAAGAAAACACACAGCAAAAGTTAACTAGCTTCTGGTTTGTTCATTTTACTCTGGAGCAAATCTGCCAGCCATTGTGTTTAGGGACAGTTTCAGTCTCTAATTTTGTGGCTATGATGATTATGGCAGTGAACTCTGAAAGGAGATGACCTGTATCCATGGAATGGGAAAGTAGCGTGGGTCTGTGTCCAAGTGGTGTATCTTACATTCCCAGTGAAGTAGGTCAGTAAAACTCATCTTGTACTGAGGACATACAAAAAATCCTGTTCACAATTTACATGTTCAAATAAGTTTTCCTGGTCCTCAGATATTAATATTAATATTACCAAATTAGAGTATTTAATAAGCAAAGATTCCTCACGAGTTAAAGACATAGAAGTCAGGCTCTCACATTCAGAATTCTGTAAACAACTGTGCCAGTGAGTATTTTTTGATAGCTGATAAGGCATAGTTACAGTTTTTAATTGTGTTTTTTGAATGAAAAAAATATCTAACTTCGCTGAGGTTAACAGTGTTAATTGATGTACAGCAGTATGCTTTACTGATGTGATACACCAAGAAATGAGTTTTGGTGGGATTTGTTTCTCAATGAAATTCTAAACATAGTAAATGCACAACTGAGAACTGCAACACTATTTTAAAACCTCCACTGCAGTTAACTAAAATTGATCTCTCTAACAAGTGCTAAAAATAGAAAGAAGGGAGCACACAATGACTTTTCATATTGCTCCCTGCAGGCTCCTTAAATACGGGTGAATATGACCTTCACGCAAAGCTGTCCCAGAGTGTGGGACAATGAGTGATATTTCACATTCCACTGCTCTAGAACAGGAATTGATTTATTACCCAGCTAGCTAGGGAATTCGTTTACATGTTTCCATTTATAACACTGCTGCATCAAAGGGAAAAAAGGAGTTTTTTGTTTTTCTTTTATTCAGCAGTTTAGAAGCAAAGCATCAATTCTGGAGATAATGATATGCAATACAGCACGAAGTGTTACACCTGACAGCCCTTTTCTACAGGCTTTCCTGCTGAAGGGGGATAAAACACAGGAATCTCTGATGTTCTCCTGATATTTATTTTCTCCCTGTGAGAGATCCCCTGTGAAAAAGAAATGAGATGATCCTGCAAACCTTGTGAATCACAAAGCATCTCCTCCTGCACCCCACGCACTTCAGCTCTGGGTTACTCTGGTGCCGTTACACAAAAGCCCCAGTGATAAGATGTCTGCAAATGGAAGCTAGGCTCAGAACAAGAAAGCAGCATCTTCAGTACAGCTGGGGAGAAAAACAAATTCTCTCATCCCACAAGAATTTCAAAAAGAAACTCTAATAAATTTTTATGAGCTCACCCCCCCCAACTGTTATTAAATCAGATCTGAGGTGTTTTATTTCAGTAGGAAAATAATTTAACAAGCTATTTTTCCTTATGGTTTACAAATGTAAATTAGACTTAATATCTAAAAGATACTGCTTATACCTGAAACTGGAATCTTTTCCATTTTGAAAATTTTAAAAGAAGATGCTTTAACAGCCTTGAAAGAAAACTACTTGTAAAGATGACTTGATTAAAACAAAAGTAATCCTTTCCTATGAAAAATTTTGGTTTCATTAAATGAGCATTTGCTAAGGGAAAGCATTGTTTTGAAAATCCCAGCTAGTTTCAATTCCTGGCATTGAAGATGGGAAGACAGAGAAAGTCTATCTGCATTATCTATTGACATCTATCCTATTTTGATAGAGGTTACAACTTAGCCTATTTCTTCTGCATACAGTTTTCAACAGAAAATGGGCAGTCCCAACAGAGCAATCCTGCCAGGATTGCAGAATGGTAGTTCTGTCTCAACAAACTTGTTATTGTGAGAGATTCTCCACTTTAGTGGAGATGCAGTGATGCCTAATCACTTGACAAGGTATTTTGCATCTTGGAAAGCAGTACCAAGCAGATGTGAGTTAAAGCAAAAACTCCTCAGGGTCATGGAGAAGCATTTGTCCAGTCCTCACATAAACCATCAGTTGTCTGATCTAAGCACAAACCCAAGCACAGTAAATTGTGTAAACAAGCTTTGATCTGCTATTCAATCAAATAGCACTCACGAGCTGCAGATAAGATATAATTCTGCATGTACATATGGTAAAACTTGTTCTTAAGCAAAGAACCAGCTGACGTGCAACCACTTAAATCCCAAGCTTTAATGCAACTCACAGACTTTACCCCAACTTCCCCTACAGTTATCTCTATGCTGCTATTTCTCATCTGCGTTTTCTGACACGTTTCCACACAAGGACCGCAAGCTTACCTGGTCCTAGCTTAGAAACTGCATAAAGGAGGTCGTAGTTGATGACAGGTGTTGCATCATCTATTGGTTGCCACCCTACAGGTGGGGAGGCTGGAGGCGAGATGAGAAACTGTTTTGCAGGCTGTGGTGGTGCCAAATGAAGCTTGTCTCCATCTGTCTCAGAGGTCTGAATCTTTAAAGCGTAACAAATACATTGTTTAGTACAGGAGGGGTAAATGGAATGATTACTCAAATCATACACTTCTAATACCACATGCTACCCAGGCAGGGTTTCAGCATCAGTCTCAGCAGAGAAGGCCTGGAGATGAATTTCATCTCAACCTTACAGATGGTTCCTCTACAGTAAATACACTGTGGGGTGCTGTTATATAAGCAAAGCTACAATGTTTGTTCCTATTTTATATGTTCTCTGAGGATAAATGCAAAGCCTTGGTATCCACAGCTGCTAGTTCAGAGATTTTGGAGGCTGAAAAGACATTGTTGTGATCTACTAGCTTAAACTCCTAAATAAAAACAGACATTAGACAAGAAACCAGTAATTCCTGCACCAAAGCCTTATCAGTAACTTCAGAAAGGTTTCTGAAGATTTGATTTCTTTAGCTGAAGTGATAAAGGAATCTATCATGTTCCTTAGTCATTAGCAACTATTTGTTCTCATTTTATTTCCATCTTAAATTAGATAATTTAATTCCTGCTTTTTTCCGGTACATTAAAGAAGTCTCAATATAAATGAATTATACTACAGCCATACCTGAGCAAGTTTACAACCAACTCGGGCCCAAAAGCAATAAACTGCATTTGCATGACAGCAAGCCTGAGATAGCACCCTGTTATACCACAGTGGGTTTTGCAAAGAGACAGTTTGGGTCTCTTAACTCCATGTTCCCCAGAATTTCTAGTTCTGGAAGTGCCTATTCAATCTGGCTCAGGCCCACTGTGTTCCTTCCACATATTCATTCCCCAGACATAACGAATAAGCTCTTCTAAGATATCCAAATGGTCTTGCAGGAAATCATCTTAGATATGGAGGCTAATCGCTAATATGCACATCTTTCTTTTTCTTATGTTATCCCAAGTTTCCTATCAACCTCTTCTGCAGTTAGAGTGAAATGATTCTCAGATCTGCTTAACAGCAGGTTTTGAAGCCTTTCAGAAAAAATTCAGAGCCAGATCTAGATTAAGGCATATAAAATGAGATTGAGGTAGACTGTCAACACCTAAATCCAACTGTAAGATCTTCTAAACATATCTAACCCGTTATGTGGATTGTGTTTTTCACAACTGTAATTTCCCATCTTCCTGAGGTTCTGCTTCTACCTACGCTCAAAACAGCTCCTATTCAGACCAGGGTGTAGAGGCTCAAAATTTAACTACCTCTTAGGTTTGATTGGTATCTTCAAATGAGCCTGCCCGTAACCTAAAACCTCTGAGGGACCAATGTGGAAGCTCAAAGCACACTTGCACTGCTTATAAGCACTAGTGAATATCCTATAAGCCACAGTGGCCACAGCAACTTATTAAAATCCATTCAGAAGAGGTGGTGGTCGGATTCTCAACTTCCCTCAACTTGCTATATCCTGGCTGCAGCCTCCTACTCACCCAGGCTGTGGGACATCTGGGTTCTCTCACCCTTGGCCCAGAAGAATTAAAACCCCCATCTGATACTTCCAGCAAATGGATATAATCCCCTATGACCCAAGGCTGGGGGTATTCTTCTCCCCGTACCTTCTCCCTTTCGTTTAAACTTCCTGAATTCCTTTTAGAAAATTCACATGTGTATTCAGTGAGAAAAAAAATAAAAGGCAGGAAGAAGCCTGTGGCTCAGGGTTGTGGTCAAATAAGTAATTCAGCCCTACTTTTTAAATGAGTCTATGATACTTTATCGCTCTTTTTATGGTTTAGAGAGTTACCCACAGAAAATACCCAATGTTGTAAATCAGTTCTAAACTACATAACTTCTGTGTGTTGAATAAGCAGCTTGGGTCCTAAGTGGTCCTTTAAATTTACTGCAGACCCATTGGGCAGGTACAGTTTAGGCAACATAAGGACGTTTGAGTAATCTTTTAGCAGAGAGATTGGGCAGGGGAGAACCTGCTTTTATTCAGTGTTACTGCGCAATATTTCTGTAAAAGCTCTGCACTAACATAGAAGTAGATACCGGATTTCATTACCTGTGCAAAATACAACTTTAACTTCTTCCCTCTGAACTGTGTTTCATGCAGCTCTATTCTGGCACGAGCAGCTGATTTGGGACTACTAAAATTTATCCGCACACGCCTGAAGCTTTTAAACAGCTGGAATGTCACGCAGTCGTCATAGGCACGGAACAAGCCTTCAAATTTTTCCTGCAAATGAAAAAGAAATAATGCTGAAGATTAACTTTGTGCTCTGTCACATCAGTCTGTCAAAGGATAAACTGAAACTTGACAACTGTTTAACCAGGAGGCTTCAGCCTGTGGCCTTTGGGGGTAAGTGTCCATAGACTAATAAAGGCTCTGTGAAAAGAAACAAAGGAAAGTGCTGGTCTGGAAGCACTGAACTCTGCAAAATGTTTGCGGGAAGGAATATTTGAATTGAGCACCCAGCAGCTATTGAACTTCTCATAAAAGTTGAGCAAAACTGTGACAGTGACATGAAATAAAGCTGAAAAGGGCATATGACTGAAAATACTAGACAACTGTGGTCTTATCTGTACAAAGGCAAACATTGTGCTGAATTACAATGGAGTCAGCAGACAAAGTCAGGCCCACTGTAATCAAGGGTTACATTCACATCAACACTGCAGAGTCATTTTGTATCGCATGTTATGTTTTTCTGGATGTCTTGTCATTTAAATAAGCACATTCCTTCAGGACTTCCTTCAGGAACACTCATTCCTTCAGAGTTCCTGTAGCAGCAGGGAAAAAAATTAGATAACTGAAAACAATGACCTGTCCCAAAGACAAATTTCAGGCTTAAAAACGTTTACCTGCAGAATTCCATGTTCAAAAGCACATGACACAAATATAGGTATTTTAACATTGTAAAAGAAAGGTGGGAAATGTACCACATCTATGGACCTAGAGATCAACAGAAATTCAATATATGTTAGCAGCCTTGGAGGATCAGACTCCCTCTGCAATTTCTCTGTATACTATGCACACAACAGAGGACTAGTTACACATCATCAGATAAAACCAAAGTCCTTAAATCAATTCTGACACACTTGCACAAGGTCTTTGCATTCACACAAGCATGGATTCATAAAACGTTAAGACTGAAAGACAGCAGTTATCATTTAGTCTAGCCTTGATCTTTACTGAGATTTCGGACTGCCACTACATAAAGTCCTAGCATTTTAACTACTTCAACCAACACTTGAAGTCACAGAAGATGGAAAATCAGTCCCTCCATTTATGAGTTCTTTATCCTGAAAAAAACCCATGTTTGAGATGATTTGTCACGCCATTTCATACACTGAGGGCTATTATGTCAGGTGTTTGTATAATTACAACAATCTAATGTTGCCTGCGATATATCTGCAAGTAAACATGTTTTCAAATATAACTTCTTCTTATCCAGGAAAACAATTTCTTATCTCGAGTGGGTAACTGGTAGAGGTTGCAGAAGATTAAATGCAAAATGCCGTTTATGTAATCTCATCAATACTTCAGTTGACAGCTGTTGGTCTTACAAGCAAGACAAAGAATCCAGAGCTACTTAGAAAAATGTATCCTGAAGCACAATGAGGCTGCATCAGGGAGCACTAATAGCACTGTGGGAGTGACTACTGTCACCATGATACATTTGTTAAAGAGTTAACTGGGAAAACAGACCAGTTTTATGGCAAAGAATATGAAACACTAACGCGCATGTACCAGATCTCCTTTCATTCCCTGCCAGCACTGTGGTCTCCTTCCCCACAACTGCCATTCCATCTCTGGCACCCTTTCAAAGCAACCTCCCTGTGGTCTATTAAGCTTTCATGATTTTCATTTCGCCTGACCTCACTCACCTCTTCCTCTCACCACAGGAGATACTTTGGAAGAGAAAGGGGGGGGAAAAAAAAAAAAAAAAAAAAAAAAATGGAAGGAGAATGCTCAGTGGTTTGGTTGAGGGTGAATAAAGGCATGCAGTAATCCCACAAACTGTGAAGTTGATAGGTTTGTACAAGCGGGTCCAGTCATACCACCTAACGTTCGAATTGGCAATGTTTAACACCTGACTTGAGTTTTTTAACTGCTTTGCTTACAATTTTGCAAAATTCTATTTTCCTGAGCAGAAGTCTACATCCAGTGATATTTGTATAAAGGTCAGCTAAAAGCAGCCGTCATCTCAGTCCTGTCCTGCTTGGCATTTTGATGCTACAACCTTCACAATGACCAGGGGAAAAGGGCTGGGAGAAGGGAGAGAAAAGGACAGGGGACCAGCATATGTGTAAAAGTAGGACCTAACACAGCGTTCAAAAACATGCAGTACTGTGTATAATCTAAATAAAAGACAATAGGGACCAACCAATTAAAGCTTGTGTCTTTGTTACCTATATTACCTATTCCAGACTTCTTCAGTGTTTTTTTAAAAGCACCTTGAAGTAAAAAAAAAAAAAAAATACACACACATATATATGTATATGAGAGATATCAAGGTATTTATATATTTATAAATATACATACATATATATATATGAGTTGATCAAGGTAGTACAACGGAAGTCACATAAGCTAAAAATAAGCAGCAAAGTGAGCATTTGCTAGTCCCCTGTAGTAACCCTCAATTTCCATACAAGTCAACAATGAAATCATTCATCATATAGAAAAAATATTTCACCAACCACGGATGAAACCATGCATGGAGTTGTCTGGACACTGGGAAGTAAGTAACTATTACAGCTCACTACTTATTAGGAAATAGATTCTCCCTGTATCGACACAGCAGTATTGTCTTGTGTCGGCCAGCCCTGTATGCCTGCCCGCTTTGTGCACATCGTAGGTGACAACCCAGAACCTGGATCCTGGTGAGGGACACACTGCAAAGGAAGGGAGGACATGACTTCAAATGTGGGTCCAAGAAGAATGAGCACAAGGAATGTTCTGGGTACATTTCTGGACAATACTAAGACACACTCTCATTAGGCACCAAAAGGGACAGATGGGAGTATCTCTAAATAAAGCTGATTAAGTGCTGGATGCCAAATGTAATACTGGGAGAACATTAAAGCACTATGGGCTTTATTCTGCTTACTTTTCAATTTGATACTGGGGCAGCTTTAGAGATCCAGCTTTGATTAACGCTCCTAAAAATGCCAGGGGAGGAGAGAAATCAAGCCCTCTATTTGATATTAATACAGGGCAGCCTGTCCACAGTGGGGACACATCTACTGCACCAACTGGAACTGCATCTCCCATTAAAAAGATTGATATATATGAATTTTTCTACATTTTCAGCTGATAATAATAATGACCTCAGCAGAGGTCATTAATCATCAACTGCAGTTAATGGCCCTCAGCTGCGTCTTGAGCCATCCCAACTCCTCCCAGCTTGATATTAATTCCCAGGAAATGCCTTGTGCCTTAATTGCTATTGCCTGTGACTTCTATTATCTGCTGAATGTACTTATCTGGATAAAAGTCTTTCAGAGTCATTTCAATCTGTAAGAAAATGTATCATACACATTTTAAAGACCCAAGAAAATTCTCTCCCTTTCAAGTTTTGTGGATAAATTATTCAAGGCTCATAATCCTCTCAATTGAGAGCTTTTAAAGTGCTTTTAGGATTCAATATTTTCAAAATGCTTATAGAAAATGTTTCAAAACTTTCAGAATACTTTGAAAACTCCTGGGGAGAAAAAAAAAAATAAAAAAAAAAATCCAAAGTTAAACAGCAGTGCTGCTGCTCTTAAAAAGTCAAAATATAGAAAGTCATGAGTTACGCATTTATTCCTGGGATTTTGGCATATCTTCATCCATCCCAAGCATGTCTCCATGAGACCCTGCTAATGCTCTGGCAAATGTGAGTACCCTCCATTTGACCAACAGTGCAGAAGTCCTCACTTCTCCCTCGTGGGCTCCCTGACCTCTCTTCATCTCGCCATTCTTTTGCCCAACACTGGGCACTTCTCCCCAGTTCTTTCCTGTCACGTCCCATCATCCATCATTCACCACCTCTAGCAGCTTCTAGACTACATTTTTTTTTTTATTAACAAAATTAGCACAAGGAACATACTAATGAAGGCTGCTGATTACTCAAGCTTGATTGTTATCATTTACGACAGCCAAAGCAGAGCACAAGCAGAGCACCATCCAAGGAAGAAATGAGCACTAGAGTAACAGATACAAGCTAAAAGCCTCAGAGGACAAGGGCAAAGCTATGCACTCCTGGACATTTCTACTACTAAATGGGAGCTCACCTGGGAACCAAGATCCTGTAAATCACACAATAAAAGTGATCAGTGAAATGCAGCCAGAAGGAGGCAAACAAAATACTGGATGTATCTGGAAAACTATTTCCAGTAAAGCAAGGAAAGTATTAGCAACATTATATACAACAGTATTACACCTCATAAAAAATGCAGGTTTTGTTGCCTGTGTCCCGGATGGATTAAGCCAAATGGGAATAGATTCAGATAAAGGTTACAGGGAATGAACAACTCAATCAGAAATGAAAATGCTTGGCTTATTTAGAAAAACAAAGCAAAGCCTGAGAGGAGATGGGACAATCATCAAGACTTTAACAGAATGGTATAAAGACAAATTATACTGTATAAAGACTAGAAGACTACGTTGGCATAAAACAAGTGGAAACAATTGGCGTAAATAGGCTTAGGCTAGAAGTTAAAAAGGTGGTTTCAAACATCAGAATAATGATCCAGAATAACCATCCAATTACAGCAGCAGTAGCAAATGATTTATTTTTTTTTTTTTAAGATTGAATTTGGTTAGTTCATGCGAGGGACTATGACAAAGTATCGACACAACAAGCATTGTAAAACATGACTGCCTGAACTAGCAAGTGAATTGGGTTCCGACACAGCAAGTTCCTGTGATTTATTTCCAAACATTTCTTTCATGAATAGCTCCACTGGTATTGTGTTCATTCAGGACAAAAGCCAAGGCCTAATTCAAATCAATGGAAGTCTTTCCACAGACATCAGTGAGCGTTGGATTAGAGCCCTAAAACTCAGAACACAAATTACATTTTATTATTCAGTATGTTTAGGCACATTATCACCCTTGTTACACATTTGATTTAGGAGATGGTCATGATTTAAAACTTTAGTCTAATCCTTTTTCCTAGAGTTTTCCAAGCAAATAAAGCAAGCATTCTTCCCATTTTAATTTTTCCTGTTTGTTTGTATAAAAAATAATCC